CTATAATAAGATTAATTAAGTCGTAGTTGTATCAGAACAATCCAATATTTTTTTTAAAATCAGAGTTTTACATATAGTTCAGAGTATGGCTGCATTCTGATTGGTCGATAMACGAGAGATTTTTATCACATGGTGCAAATAATGCGCATGGTACAAGATTGTTTTACTGCGATATAAACAAGTTTTTTGCAGGGGGTCTCATGAAATCAAAAATTGAGTTCACAATTGTTTTTGTTTTTGGTTTTTTTTTAATGCGCGTGGTACAAGATTGTTTTACTGCGATATAAACAAGTTTTTTGCAGGGGGTCTCATGAAATCAAAAATTGAGTGGACAATTGTTTTGTGATTTTGGCGTGAATAAACGAGAATGGCCTATGTCAAGGACGGATCCAGATGTGACCAAGTTAAAGGCAAGCCAGCTCTACRCCCACTCCCCTAAATATGAACCTCTCAATGGTTAGCAAAAATAACAACATCAAGTCCCACGTACAGGCTAAGCCAKCCCCTCTTTGCCCGTCCGTTCATTGAAAAGCTGAAGTGATTGGAAATGGAACAAAAAGTGGACAGATGGGAGATGTTTGGGCATAGTGGCAAACGATCTTCCACCCCCACCCCCGTGTCAATCGTCTACCACACCACTCCCTCCCCCCTTTCGTCTTCATCCAACGTGTTCCTCAAAATTAATTTCTGGATCCTTCGTAAGTCAGTATAATTATATAAAAAATCGCTTTAATTTGCGAAGAAAAAAACAATAACCCACAAACGTGTCAAATCAATAAAAATGCATAAGATCGAATATTTATTCTTTTACTATCTTTGTCATCATCCCCCTACCCATGCTTTTAGTMGATGAAAAAAAAAATCCTATTTACAATATTTGAGAACTTATTCGAACTCTTGCTTGTGATAAACACAAGAAAAATATGAAACTGATTCATGTAAGCAGCTTTTCTCCACGAAAAAGCAAAATCGTACAAATTAGTGCAAAGTTTTGTATAACAAATCGTTTTCAATTAGTTGTGTAAAAGTCAAATCACTCGATTCAACTTTTGTGTTGCCGTTAATTATCTTAGATTAGTTGTTTGATGAACTCACTCGATTCGACTTGTTTTCATCTCGCGCGTATTGTCGTTATCTTAGTCTAGTTGTTTAATAACGAAATCACTAGATTCAACTTGTTTGATCRCGTGTCATTTTTACAGTCCAGCGAACTCGATACAGTTTACTGAACTTTTCTTCTGGGTTCGTGCTGAGGTAACCACTTAAAATTCAAGGACTATTCAAGGAGTATACAAGGACCTGAAAATGAATTTTCAAGGAGTATGTTCAGCTAACTACACCAAGGTTTTACGTGGTGGTTGCACATGGCCGATTTTCAGATTTTCCGATCTTTCTGACTAGATCTATTTCAGAACAATGCAAGTAATGATCAAAGCAAAAATTCAAGGAGTTTTCAAGGAGTTTCGCTAAAATCGTAAAATTCAAGAGCTTTTCAAATGCCCTTGAAAACGTGAATTCAGTAAATTCAAGGAGTTTTCAAGGAGTTTAAGGAGTAGCGCTAACCCTGTTCCTTACATATATTTTCACGGGTATATGGTATGCACTCTCGTTACTTATTCATTTTCATCTCCCTAGGATTCCGTCCCCCTCATGTTTCATTCACCGTTAGCAATCTTCTTCAAGATAATGATACCAATCTTTTTTGAACAAATATTTGTCATAAAAACTCAATATGTTTGCAGCTGTTTGCTCTACATTTCTAAAACTTGTTTTCTTAAGTCGTTTTAACTTGAGTTTCACCGAAAAAGATGGAAATAGGTTTTGGAAAAAAAAAAAAWTTGAAAAATAAAACGTGGAGAAGAGAAATTAACGTTTGTACGTGTAAATGAAAGAATAGGAACAAAAATGAAAACATTCAAGAAAATGTTCCAAAAATAGCAAAGTACTTCCACTCTCACCTCACCTCCACATACAATTTACCGAAATTAATTACAAAAAAAAAAACAACAAAAAACAAAAAAAAAACATAGTCTCGTTGCAAACCAGCAATAATAATTTTTTTAAAAATCCTATATCTTTCTATTATTTTCAAACATTGCTTCCAATTACACTATTTCTACGTCTGTTCAATATTGATTGAAGTTGGTCTACGACCTCTAACGATATGGCTGTCGAAGGATTTCTAAAGCAGTTAGTTACCACTTAAAGGAGGAGTTTGCTTAGAATTKATTTAAGTTGGTATACGACTTCTAAGGTATTCTAACAATGTAAGGGTCCCCTTAGCAAGAATTGCCGTGCGAGGATTCCTAAAGGCGTTACCCCCCAATTGAAGTGATCGTAAAGTGCTGACGTTGCCAAGTTCTGGAGGAACTTGTGAGATATCGTTGTTTTGTAAGTCGAGGGTCTCTAAGACAGGAAGGCGAAGAAGCCCATTGACATCKATAGCACCAATCTGTGAGAAAAAGTAGTTTATGTTTAGGACCACGTGCCGAGACCGTAACCGTGTCGAACCATGATTTGTGAATCGAACTATGACTTGTGACTTAATAATAGATGGCGTTATTCTGTACCGTGACTGAGTTGTGTGACATTACTCTTTTCATTCAAATCTACTCCCATTATTTTCACGTATTTACGATTTTGGAATCAAAAATAAAATATTTGTGACTTAATAATAAATGGCGTTATTCTGTACCGTGACTAAGTTGTGTGACATTACTTTTTTCATTCATTGGTTGAATCAGCTCCCATTATTTTCATGTTATGACGATTTTGGAATCAAAAATGAATTATTTGTGACTTAATAATAGATGGCGTTATTCTGTACCGTGACGGAGCTGCGTGACATTACTCTTTTCAATCAAATCCCATTATTTTCATGCATTTACGATTTTGGAATCAAAAATAAAATACACCTACTTGGTTGTCACTTGCTAGAATGGTCCTAATAGAGGGGATAGAATACAACACCGATGGAAGACTGCTAAACCTAGAAAAACGAAACGAAAAATCTCACATCAATATTTGTGATCTTGATAGAGATAGACAGGTAGGGATTGAGAGAGGGTAGGTGAGGAGGGCAGAGAGGTAAAATATCTTCTGAGATTCAGTGTCTTTAACTTACCTGTTAAATGACAGGATGATCTCTCTAAGACAAACCAAGGCAGACATGCTGACGGGAAGGTCTCTTAGTTGGTTGTTTCTGTTGGGGAAAAAAACATGGTGTTAAACTTGTTATAGCTATTCACTACTGCAAGTACAGTCCATGTATGACCCCGCAGCACAGCTCTAACCAGTTTGAATTAATTACGGTTGATTTGAGAGGAGGGTTAAAAACCAGAGAGCTGTAGAAAAAACCCTTGGAGTCAGAAAGAGAACCAACCAACTCAGCTGACATGGGACACCTGGGATTCAAACCCCAGACCTCAGAGGTGAGAGGGGAGCATTTTACCACCCCCCCCCCCCCCCCCCCGGTCCCCGGATCGCAGTAAGGGACATTGTAGTAAGGGACTGGTCATTATTTATCTGGGGGGGGGGGGTCTGGGGGCTGGTGCAATATTAAATATGCTATGCTTGATTTTTGCTGACCTCCCCTTCTCCTTTAAGCATGATTTTGCTGATTTTTGCTTAAACCCATGCATAAAAAATGCTGACCCCCACCCCCTATTTGCACCAGCCCCTCCC